ACTGAAAAGACAAAAACAAAAAAAATTTCTCAGAGCGATGCTGCATGCTTTAAACAGTGAGATAGAGGCTGCGTCCTGATGTGGGCTGGGATTATTAAACATGAACTCAGTGAACTCAAAATCGGCTCCCAGAGGAGACGCACATTGGCCATGTTTTAAATGTCCGAAACGTCACTTTGTGCATTTTGAGTTGTTTCATTATTGTTTTTTAGCACATAAAATCAAACAAGTAAAATAATTTTTCAACATTTTTTCATTCAGTTGCATAATTATTGTGGACAATTATTGACTAAACTTACTTTTTTAAATATTCAGATCTGAGTCGAACTCTGGGATTGACTGAGAGTTCTGTGGTTGTTAAGTACTAAAATGAATCCTTAAAAATCTTATTTGTGCACACCGTGAAGCTGTGAAGTGGAAGAAAACAGCTAAACTGGTTTCAAAATGATTTACTTGTGGAGTGTTTCTACCAGCTTTACTCGTTTAGAAACTGACACCTTTACCCTTTCTACTCCACGAAATGGCTCCAACTCAGTCGGATATGACTGACACGCTGTGTAAACATCAACTTTCAAGTCCACCCATTTTCAAATCAACTCTAAACAGATCAGGGCATCCCCACAGCATGGTGCTGCCACCACCATGTGTTATGTTTAGTGTTAGTTTTTTGCCTCAAATAGCAAGTTGCAGGTTGGCCAGAAAGGTATATTTGGGACTCGTCTAACAACATGAAACCGGTTGAATGAGGAATTTTTTGGGCTGCTATATTTTAAGTGCCGTCCCTTCAGAATACTTTTAACCGGTTATTTATTAATTGGGCGATTTGTGAAGATAATTGGTTGGATTTTATTTAAGGGTATCAGCGTTAAAAAGGCCTAACTACATTTTTCGCACACTTTTCAAATTTTTATCTGTAGAAAACTTTGAAAAATTTGTTCCACTTCAACATTATTCACTTCTTTGTGTTGGTCTGATGAATAAAACCTCAATAAATTACGTTAAAGTCTGTGGTTGTCAACGTGACAAAATGTGCAAGTTCTGAGAAGCGCTGTAGGTTCTCAGTTATTGAAACCAAATGTCTTCACTGATCCTCATTTCTTTGATTTCCCTCTTACTCCTGTGGGAGCAGCATGAAAGAACGCATTCTGGCGAGAGACCGTTCCAGTGCACACACTGCAGTAAAAGCTTTACACACTCCTCCAATCTCCAGCTCCACCTTCGCACACACTCTACAAGCAAGGACTACAAATGCCCGTTCTGCACCAAGGGGTTCGTCATGCACTCCTACTTGCAGCGACACATCCGGACCCACGGGAACGGCGTTTCCCTCCCTGGCCCCGGCGGCGGCGGTAAGGACGGCGTGGCTGTGAAGGCCAGCGTGGGCGGAGTCACAACCACCACAACCCTGCTCAATCCCATCACCCTGGAAACCACGGGGAACAATGGCAGCCTGATCGTGTCCCAGCCAGCGCTCAATATTCCGCCCAACACGTCCCAGAACTACTTCATGATTCAGACGGCGAACGGCCTGCAGCTCATCCCCCTGTCACCACCTGCTCCTGCTCCTCCACCTCCCCCACCACCACCACCACCACCTCCTCCTTCCCAGTCGCAAAACTTTCTCCTCCTTCAGTGTCCCTCCACGAACGGCAGCCAGTCCAGGCTGATTCTCGTCCCCACGGCGAACAACCCCCCGCCAGCTCCAGATCCTCAGTCCCTTCCCATCCTTCAGACCATACAAGCATTCCAGCCCGTCCTCAGCCAATCGCAGACCCAGATAGCCCAGTTTCCAGCCGTATCCCAGCAACAGCAGCACGCCAAGATCATCATTACCAACACTGTGCAAGCCCCTGTTGCCACGGCGAACCACAGCCTCTCGGCCCTGCTGACCAAGCCCATTTTGGGGAAGAGCACACGGACGGCACGAGGCCGGCGCGGCCGCAAACCTAAAGCCGCTGCGCAGAAAACGGCTCCGACTGCAGGTGGCGCCGTCCCAGCGGCACACTGTAACACAGTAAGCAACACTAAGATGGTCACTGTTAATAACACTAACACAGACTCGGATCTGTCCTGCCAAAAGCGCACAGCCTCCATAGCTGTAGCCTCCACAGAGGCCACCGCAGAAACCACAGGGTCGCTTCCTGTTACACCAGAGGATACCCCTCATTCGTCTTTGGAGCAAATTGGGAAAGAGGGAACCGTAGCGGAGAAACAGTTTGTGTTGTGCTTCGAAAACGCGGAGCAACAGAAACAGGGAGCGAACATTGAGGAAGGTGGCGACCCGTACGTGTTGCAGTTTGAAGGGAATCCATCAGGGGAGGCAGATCAGGAAGGAATCGATGGAGATGGCAAGTCCATTGTGTTACAGTTTGAGTCAGGCGGACAAGATGAAGGGGAAAAGGGAGGGAGTAAGGAGGGGGTGATGTCACTTCTGCATGAATGGGGTGAGGGAAAGCAGGGTGGGAGTCAGACAGTTGGGGAGGGAAGCCAGGGGGAGTCGTACGTCCTTCATTTCCACACCGAAGCTCAGCAGAGTTCGCCATCGAGTTCTACGTTTGGTCAAGGACAAGACAGCAGCGTCGAGCTGTCCTGCGCGCCCACCCAAGCGTTCGTCCCCATCAGCGGACAGGAGGTGGTGTTTGACCAGATGGAGCCGGAGGGCGAGCGGGGCGTGCAGATGATAGCGCTGATCGAAGGCGAGGGGCAAATGATCGGAGGAGACGGGGCGGGCTGCGACACGGAAGCCGGCGCCATGGCGGAGGACGAGGGAGGCGTGAAAAGCATCTTCCAGCTGGAACACGGAGACGAAATCGTCATAATCGAGGTCAGCACCAGCCAGCTGCGAGGTGAGGAGCAGGAGGAGGAGGAGATCTCACCGAACAGCCACGTGAAACGTGAAGGCGCAACGACGGAAGAGTCGGCAAAAGAGCACGACTCGGCAGAAACATCAGCCGAAGACTCGAGAAGAAACTGCACTGTGTCAAACTCTGAGGAGCTGAAGTTCTCCGAGTGAGAACCGGGTTAGTGGGAAGGGGAACGACTCGCTTTGTGAGATGTTTGGTAGCACTTTAGTCATTTGAGTTCTCCTGGAACCGAGAGCGAACATGCAGTTAGAGGAGTGTTGTGTTGTAATGCCATGGTGCCACTTTCTAGAAATGTTATACATTCAAAATAGGCGAAAACATGGAATTTATATTATTCATAAACACATTAGTTAAATTATACTGTCACAGGGCAGCTTGATGAAGTAAGTATGATTTTGTTCAGTGTTGTATAGGGGACGCTTTCTTTACAGTGTTGATAGCAAATAGTAAGTAATTAATAATAAAGCTGTTAATATATTTTATTGTTTGGGTTATTGAGCAACAGACGAAGGCCATTGTGTTGACTGTGAATGTCGAAATGAAATGTGGAGAGGAATGAAGACTAGACGGTATCGCTAGAGTTTTGGGATTTTATATTGCGACAACTCAGAAATTCTAAATTCCCACTGGCGTTTGAATGCAACATTGCTTTCCATTTGGTGTAAAACCTGAAAATAATTAAATGATTTTTCTTTTTTATTTAGTTCTGACTGCAGTTACAGTCCTATCAAATCAGGATCAGAAGCTATTTCCTCAGTACAACTATCTTTAGTAATCCCTTATTTATTTATTTTTTTTTCTACTGACAAGCTTTTTTTAAATAAATATTTTTCCATGAAATTTCACTGTAATTTACAACAAGAAAAGTGAATAGTACAGCCAAAGATCAATTTGTTGTATCAGCCCTATAATTTGAAACAGCTCAACAAACCAAATGTCCTGATAAACACATGAACATGTTGGGATGCTGCTGTCCTGGATGATCATGAAAACACAACGTTTTATATTGTTCACTTGAGCAAAAAGCTAAAAGAGTGCAATTTTGAAAAGCTTCTATTACTTCTTGTTGTATGTATTGTTCTCTGCTTATACAAATGTACCCTTTTTTTATATAAATGCAAACCTCTTAATGTGGACATGTGAACTATTAAAGAAGTTTAAAAAAAAGTAAGATCAAGTTGCAGAAATTTCCATGGATACATTTTTCAAAATGTTCAATAAAACGTTGCTAGATTTGAAAAAAAAAATACATTTACTATATGGTGTTATTTATATTTATTTCTGTTAATTTTGATTATTATTATTGCTTACAGCTAATAAAAATTAAAAATTCAATTTTCAGAAAATTAGAATCTAAATAAAACCTTTTCTTTTTTAAAAAAAATATTAAGATATCAGCCTGCTGGAAAGACACTCTTCCTCCAGACTCTGGATCCTTGATCTTCAGACATGATTTAAAACATTTACTTTCATCTAAAATTACTCAACAGCGGTTGAGTCCTCCTTAGCTACACAGGTAAGAAGCTTCTGAATGTCTGATTTGGGAGTGGGGTTAAACTTTTCACTGCGACAATTTTTCCCTCCACTCAACTTTCCATTAAAATGTTTGGATACAGCCCACTTCTTGAGCAGTGACCTTGTGCAACTTACCTTCCTTGTGAAAATATGCCAGTGAATGTCAAGTCAGCAGTCATTATTGTGTGGTAAATAATATTTATGTCTGAGAATTTTATTTTATTTTTTTAATGAGCTGTAAGTCACAAAACAATCTGATATCTGTATTTTTACAGGAAATATTTTAAACAAAAAAAATCATATTTGGTGTAAGTGAGGGAAAAGTGTTGGCAGTCTTCTTTCAGCCGGCTGACGGGGAGTGTGCAGCAACAGGTAGAGGGCAACAAGTAGCCAGCCATAAATCTGCCTGACAAGGGTTTTACTAATATTACACTTCGTTAGTACATTAAAATCTGCACTGTTAGTAAACTTTTAGTTCCATATGGTCATAAAAATGTAAGTAAATTTTTTTAAAACATAAATCGGGCTTGTAATGCGCATTTCCAGTCATCTTCATTAAATATTTAAGTGTAACAGGTAAAGTTGTCTACGCAGTTGGGTATTCCGGTAGAGTCTGCGCACTGCGGGTCCTACGTACGCAAATGGCGTAAATAGATCCAGATACCACTCGAAAATGGACCGTAAAACAGAAATAGGTTGGATTCAGAAATGCGCTCTTTTCGTACGCAGAGGCATTGTGGTCATTCAATAAGATTCACGCGGACTGTTGACAAACAGAAGCTCTTAAGTTGTTTATTTACGGCATCTGAGCTGGATTTGAGCCGCAACGTGCAGAAGGTAAGCGGAGCCGTGGTGGGTGCAGAGCTGCTGCAGTGTTACGGAATGACCATATATGGGGTTGAACCAGATCATTTAGCTCTGATGGTAGCTGCGGGAAGCTAAAGCGAAGGGGAGCAAAATAAACAATAATGATACGACATAAGGTAATCCATCATAATCCTCTGCTGGCTCAATTATTTGAGGCTATCTTGGTTGCAATGCTACAACTGTTCATGTCTCACAAAAAAAACCCCGCAAAAATACATGAAGTCATTTAAAATTAGAAAAAAATATGTATATATTTGTGCTAACCAGTCTATCAGTCATAGGCTAAACTGGGATTTGGATGCATGTCCTAGCATAAGTTCAGTCTTTTCAAGTGTGTGCTTTTTAATCATGCTTTCCTCACTAAAATGTGTTGCAGGCTGTTTGCATGTTGTGGATGCTGGGCTTCACAACACACCACAGGTAGAGTCAGTGGTGCCAAGGGCCTCCTATCAAAGCACAAGCACTGAACATGGTGAGGCTGGAGTTGGACCAGGTGGTCATGAGGAGGATGAAGGAGGACGACATTGAAGTAGTGAAAGCCCTTGTTAAGGTTTGCTGAGTTCCTTTCGTTCAAAAGCTATCCGTATATTTTTTTGGATGCTCTTTCAGTTTGACTCTTTTTCCTACCAGGAAGGCTGCGAGGGCACAGAGAACCGTCTCATCTTGCACATCCTCACACGTCCGCTCTGCCTTTTCATCCTGGCTGTTTTCTCCTCCATCCTGCGCTGCCTTGTTCACTCCTTCATCCTGGCCCTCGCTATCCCTGTGTTCCTGCTGATTGTTTTTCTCAAGATCACCATGCCACGGTCGACGGGGGTCCTGGGCAGCAGCCGCCCCTACTGGGACTACGTTGGCAGTAGCTACAGAGGCCAACAGGACGAGACGCTACAGAATCCCTACTGCAGGATCAGTGGGAAAACACCAGGAACAAAAAAGGTGATTGTTGCCGAAAATACGTTGTGTTTGCTTAAATGTGCATATATATTTTTTATAGATTTTCATTTGTGTCCAGGCATGTAGCTCGTGTTATTAATTACCATGATCATGATCAACACTGAGAGACAAGAAACAACATGATGCACAAGGCAGTCGGGAATGGTGCTGAAAGTTTCCAAAGAGTGATGAAATTCACGCATGACAAATTGGCCACCGTGGAAAAAAAATACAGCATAGTCTAAAAGCTCCAACTTCAGTTTATAAAATGAAGATTTATATTATAATGTATCCAGTAAGTATGATGGAGTAAGGACAAATGATTTCAGGTAGCAATAGCTTGGAGATCCAACAAACTGGCCCCCCAACGAGGCATTTAAAAGCACCAAGTCTATTAATAAAAAACCGGTGTGATAAATGGCTACTTATGACAAAAGTTGTCATTTAAAACATTAAAATTATTTATGTATTACCCACACACATCAGCAAAATGGCCTACGTTTTATTAGCCAACCAAGCAAATAGTCATGCAAGTCTCACTTTAATACACACAGTTTGTTTTACTGACGGATGTTGCACCACAGTAATGTAGATGTCAACGGTTTATTCTGAGGACATCATCTGTCACTCTATAAGTCCGTTCAAAGTTAGCTTCCCTACAACAACAAGTAAGTTCTCCCTAGAATGTCCTTTCAGGAGCATGATGCACATTGACAACTGAATGAAAGATGAAGTATCACTCTTTTATTTGGCTCACACACTATGGAAAAATAAATATTTTGTGCTGACATAGGATCTATTAAAACACAAGACAGCTGCAAAAAAATCCACATTTACTTACCTGAAAATCCCTGCATGTGCACAAAAAACAGCTACGGTTGCCTTGGTGATCTGTCTGTTAACTCCCAGCTTGAACGGTCTGTTTTGTGTCCTCTTTCCTCAGGTTTGGGTTATTATTTCACTTAATCCAAGATTCAATTTGTTTCATAATCCTGAGGCAAAAAGTATTTAAAGCAGAAAAGCTACTTTTGGGAGAGTGAGGACAAATCAATGAGTCTTACGCACATTTCCTGTGTACAGTCTCTTTGTAGAAGAACTGTTCACTACATCTTTGTGCTGTGCCACCGATAAGCGGCCACACGTCCGTTCAACATGCCCCTATTGAAAAAAATAAACAGTCTCTTCTCCATTTAAGGGCTTCAAGATGGTGGGGTAACAGATGCTATGTCATCATTATTATAAGAAAGAGCATTCACTTTGATAACGCAGAGACTTGATTTGTGTTTCATGCTTTTAGGTTTTTCAATGACTTCCGTCTCTAAAATACGGTGCTGTCTGGTCACTAGCGTTCGCATCCGAACGTCGCACGCATGTAAAATCTCGTATTTTTATTTATTTTTTTTTTTTGTTCAGCAACGGCGCAGAATTGGATCTAAAGACAAAGACAAGGAAACATCTTCAGAGAAGATCACTGAAGAGAGAGAGCAAGCAGCAGGTCAGGTGTGGGTGGCAGACTGCGAAGGGGATATCGTGGGCTGCGTCTTCCGTGAGAGCGAGACGCGTCCGAGCGCGAGGAGGATCTGCAGGCTTGTGACGGGCTGCTGGTACCGCCGGGAGGGTCTGGGTCGTCTCCTGGTCCAGAGTCTGGAGCTGAAGGAGAGGGAGAGCGGCGCACGGAGGGTGTACGCGCACGTCCCCTACCCGTCCAAAGTAGGCGAAGCCTTCTTCAGGAAAGTGGGCTATCGGCAGCTGGGAGAGGCGGCTGATGAAGAAGATGACGATGAGATGAAGAACGAGACCCCAGAGAGAGGTTTTATGGGGTACCCTCTCACTAAGGTGTTCTACAAGGACTTGTGATTGACCATCGAGTCAAAGCGATTAGGATAACGGCACACGTTTTACTTGTTTTCGCTTGAATTATGCGATATTAATGAAAGTATTTATTTATTTATCATGTGCGTCGGCGCCATTTAATAATAAATGACATCTCCATTTTTGATGAAGCAATCGGTTTCTCTTTGTTTTCTCAAGCAAAAAAGACATAGCAGAGTCTGAGATGTGCTGTACTTTGCACTCGTTTGATCAAGTAAATCATTTCTGTCGAGTCTGTCTCTAGCTTGCATCCACGCGTCTGTTTCGTCAAGCACTTCAACGCCAACAACGCGATGCATCTGAGCGACCGAAGGCGTTCGCTCTGGTGTGAAACGATACAGATGTGTAGGTGTTTGTAGAGTTACTGTAGAGGAAGTGTGTGTGGTTTATGTGAATGTGCAGAATTTATCTGCCTTTATCTCAGCGCTCCTTGTCTGTCACTGCTCACCTTCACACACACACAGAGATTGTGACTCTGCAGAAACAGATGCTCCCTTTTGTTTCGGTAATAATTGCAGTTTTCTTACATTTCAGATATTGATCAACAGGTTTTATATTAATTCTTAAATGTTTGTGGTATTCAAAGGATTTTTTTTTTTCATTTTAAAGAAAGCGCAATCTCAGTTTTTTTTTTCAGTGAAATGTTGCAACATTTAACTGTATGATGCCTTTTGAAAGTATTTGCACTCCTTGAGCTTTTACATATTTTGTCACATCAAAATCATACATTTCTATGTGGTATTTAAGGATTTTGTCATGAGACAGACAAACTCAAGATGGCACACAACTGAGAAGGAGTAGGAAAATGATGCATGTCTTTTAAGAATTTTTGCAATTAAAAATCTAAAAACAAATGTACTATGCATTTATTCTTAGTCATGCCCTCCACAAATCTGGTCAGAAGAAGGCAAAAAAAAAAAAAGGTTTTCAGGTCATACAAGCCTGAAATTGAACTTTCTGACCTAGATGCAGACACTGTTTGTTCTGAAAAACTACCACTGCACATGAACTGGAAGTCTGCAGCCCTGTGATAAAAACCTGGTGGCAGCATCCTTATGAGGAGATGTTTTCCTTTATCTGCGTGAGGGAAGGTGGAGTCCTTATTTCAACCCTGCCGCTTTGCAATCATGCACTGGCCTATAATGCATATACTAGAAGAGACACATTAAAGTTCATGGTTGTAACATAAAGAAATGGGGAAAAATGTTCAAGAGGTATGGATACTTTTGTAAGGCAGATAGTGTATGATTTTAAGGATAAATGTTGCAGCCCATGATTGCCACAACATTGTAAAGATTAATTCCAAATATTGCAGGTTTCATTTTTGATCGTTTATAATTTATAAATCAAAGTGCAATGCAATAAACATGCATACACAAGGCCTCTGAGTTAGGCGTGAGTGTGGTTTGCAGGTGACTGTCAGTTTATGTGAGAGTGAAAATGCACACAACCCTCCCCCCTGCCTGAGGCTAACCTTAATATGGTTAGCAGCCCTCATGTTTTCCTCAATGCGAACCTAGCCTCCTCCTAACCACAGACATTGTCATTGCAGCGCCAGTGCGGCACCAGTAAACACCACAGGATGTCTGTACGATGCACACGTGTGTGTGAGAAGGAGGTACTTGACACCTGGTGTGGAGACAAAAATAGGCTCCAAGTGAAATGCAAACTCATGCATGCTTCAAAATGCTTTAAAAAGTGCAAATGAGAAAGATTGGAAAATAGCGAATGCAGTGTTGGATCCGTCAAGTTGTGTCTCCTTGAAGCGATTTGCATAAAAAAAAAGCATAAATTTAAATGGCTCAACTCAATTGGCACAAAATGCCACTTTTTATTGTAGCTGTAACCTCAAAATTAGTCAGACCTTAAACGACTAGCATCTTTAGTGTTTGCTTCACCATCCTTAAGCTGTTGTGACTTGCTGCAAACCTGATTCATGGATGACACCAGTTTCTGGCTGCATTCCTGAAATTGCATTGGCAAACTAGACGTTGGTTAATATTCTTGGGTCTGTGTGCTGACAGCAAACATTTCAAATCCCTTCAGAGATTCTTAATGAACTACGAGTCAGTCGTAATCATAAACGCTCCACTATCTGCTGGAACATTTGCTAAAACAAAAGCTTGATGGAAACAAAGCGCCTCCACCCAGGGCATCACTGAGCACGCGTCCTTGTAGGTACGATGTTCTTTTCCCTGCTTCGTTCTTCCTCCTCCAGACATACCATCGATCGGAGAAGCGAAGGTTTGGTTTTATCGCCCCACAGAACAGAATCCTCAAACCTCACAGGCTTGTTTTAACAGTCTCGAACAAATTGGAGCTCAGTTTTCTGGTTGTTAACGGTGAGTTGCGGTGCAGATCTTGAAGTTCAGGCTTGGCACATTTCATTTTTGCGCTTCACTGAAACTCACTGCTTGGTGCATGTGTCTTGTAATCAGTGGAGGCTTTTTGACCACCTGAATCCTGAGGAAACTGGCCGCAGCCCTTGATAGCTCCTCAGCTTCCAGGTTTAGGTGGAGTAACGACTCTTCCTTTATCTTGAAATTTTAGCAAAAATACTTTCAGCTATTCTTTTAAATCCTTTTATTTCTTTGTGCAAGGCAACAATCCCTTTTCTGATCTTCCTACACAATTTTCTTTCCATATTTCTGATATAGAATAAGACATTATGAACAACATTCCAGGTGTTTCGAAGTGTGACATCTCTAGCAAAACTAAACTACAGATGGTCTGGATTAGTTGCGCCCCGGCTCATTATTCAGGAGGTATGAATAGTTTTCTGACAGCAGCACTGAAAGTATTCAGAGTTGAATAAAATCATTACTATTTAAATGGTTTATATGTAATTTATACCTGAACAATTTAGAGTTGTTGACAACCACATTTGTAGTTGAAGTCGAACAATTCTAGTTGCAATTGTAACAACTTCATCTGCTATGTATCTTCTACAAACAAAAAAAATATATTTTCAACACTTTTTGTTCATTTCCTCATTACTGTCAAACTGCAGACACCTGTAAGCTGGGCCTCTACCCGCCAGATATGTAGCTATTATTGTTGTCAGGAAACAGATGTGAGTTCACACACTGGAAAGAAAGTCTGTTTGTAACTGTGGTCATATGCGTCTGCACGGTATGGCACTGTGTGTGTGTGTGTGTGTGTGTGTGTGTGTGTGT